CAACATCCAATAAATGCATACATTCGAGACGGGTGAAAAAAGCCCTCCATTGCTGCACGAACTGGGTACCGACATCCACCCACATGTGCTGAATGCGAGTGTTGTGTGTCGAGCTTGTAATAACATCAATTGCCAAGTTCTATGCTGCTTCAGAAATAAATTTCACTTACAAGCCCCAAATGAATGAACCGCAATTGGCATCTCTGCACAGGATCATAAAAATGGATACATCCTTATTCTCTCCACCTCTATCATCTCGTACGCGGAAAGGAAGCCTATATTCACAAACAGCACTTGCGAAGCTCTCCAAAACAGTAATAGATCAATTATTTGTGCTTGCCTTCAGTGCCACCATCTGTGTGCAGGCGATTAGTTTACTTTTGCTGCAGAACTGAGCTTACTTCTAATTTTAACCATGCAATCAGCACCATCTGCTCCACCATGCAGAACAAAGCCCCAGCGGATGAGTTTATGATGGCCATCAATATGCCAAAGTGCGTTTGGACATTTAACCTCATATGTGCGCCTTCAAATGACGATGTGTGTTCGAAGGGCTCTTTCCACAGAGTCTACACGGGAAACAGATGAGCGCACTCGAGTCCATTGAATTCGAAGACCCTGTGATTGCAAGAAGCCAATAAGGTACCGAAGTCCTGTCTGAGGCTTTGCCACTCTGTAAGCCCTGACAATCTTGTCTAAATTGTGGTCTGAGAGGTTGGAGAAGGAGTAGTCAATTTTATAACGCTTGAGATGACTGTACAGCGTATTCCGACTGAGTCCGACAAGCTTAGCAAGCCTGGAAACAGAGATCTTCCTTTGTGGAGACATGGCAGCATGGAGATATGCAACGTCAACTGTTTTCCTAGGTCGACCTCTCTTCTCTGTCCTAACAACATTGACAGGCTGCATCTGTACTGTAGTCAAAGATTCTCTGATGGTATTTCTTAGCTCCCAATCTCATGATGTGTAAAGTAAGTGCTTACATTCTCTCCACATTTTGAAATGCCAACCACAGAGATTGAACCAGATCTGCCACAACTTGTGCACAGGTCAGGAGCCAGTCATGAGGAATGCTCTCTGATGGAGCTGCATTATCCAAAGCAAGG